ACCGCCTCTGATATTGCTCATGCCTGCCTATCGTCTGTCCTTCCGTGCTATATTTGCACGTGCCGAGCACGGCTGGAAGAAGCGCCACGGCGGTCAGACCATGACATGGCGTAGAGGTATGAAGAAGCTTCGGTTGATGCAGTCCGCCTTCTAAGTTGGGGCCTAAGTGTTGAGGATTGTCGTTGTTTAGAGACAGAGATGTAGCCTAGAATAGAATTCAAGGGCGTAAATGCTGCACAGTCTGTCTGTTGAAATCGCGTGCCCTTAAAGAAACAAGCTAAAACACAAAAGTATCAAAAGTGTACGGTGAAGCAAACATAAATTGTTCTTGTTATTTACCTTGACTTTCTGACCCTCCTTTCATTTTGCTTTTCAATTCAACCCCGCATGTTCTGTTATTCTTGTTGTTGCGTTGGCACCACGCTTGTTTATAAGTTGGCGATAAATAGATAATATATAATAATAATATATTGCACACAACGCAGTTTTCAGGACGAATAAGCATTTACTGTATTTTTTCGCTCGTGAAGAAATTTGTCTGCAGACCGACCAATCCGTGTTTTCCGGGTTCTGCTGCAGCTGAAGTTCAGCGATCTTCTAAAACAGATAGTACTCTGGCTTTGAGCCTTCGCGTCATGTCCTCCTGTCCTGATTATTCTCTGATTTCCATTGCCAAACAATACGGTATGGAGGTAGTCGCAGCTGACAAGGTAAAACGATGTTGTCTTATGGACCCAGCTGCCTGAATAAAGTTTATGGGTCAAGGAGCGCAGTACATGAGTCATGGTTGTAATAAACTCATGTGGTCAATGCAAGTGATGTTTTTTAGGAATCCACAACCGCAGCCTTCGGCTAACCAAAGCCTGACTCGCTAGATGGCGGGGCGATGTCTGAAAACCATTGGGGAGCGGTGTCCAGTTCACGGATCATACGCCCTTCTAACGGGGTCCAATGTCCAAGGTGCCCAGTACGACTCTATGCCCAATCAAGTCGGTGACCACTGGTACAACCGAGAAGGTGTGTGNNNNTTGATTTAGGGTTTTTGGCCAATTCCCCTGGGTGAACTACCAGTGGTCCATCAACCCGGTTCTAGCCCTGAATATCAGCTATTCGTCCTGTCACTTTGGTGGGGAAACACCGCGCCACGAGAAGGCAATGAGTAGAGCTTCCTCAACAAAGGCTATTTGAGACGCTCGGTCGTGTGGGAGCGTTTCGTTAGGTGCAAGGGAAGGGTGACCACCCGCAACCCTAGACACCCACCTCCGAACATACCTTGGTTTTTGGAGGCCTTGTTTAGTTCACCACTCCAAGTCCCGGGGTTTAGGTTACCGGTTTCCATCACGAAACAGCAGATCTTCGTGACTATGAGGTTGGCCTCGTCTGATGTTCATCACACGAAAGTGTGCAATAAAAAAAGAATATGAACAAGAAAAATGGCAATAAGATGAGGCTTAACTGCACTGTGGCGATACATTAGAAAGGATTCTCACAAAGCTTGCAACTTTTCAATTTTGTCGGTGCTTTACTTCAACCATCGTTTATGTTAAGTTTCAGCATGACCGAAATCATTCCACTTGAACTCAGGAAAACCTACGACACCCGGTCCAAGTCACTTTTACCCGCTTTGGTAATTTATTTTTTCATTGTCACCGTCAACTCATCCAGAGTCCCCAGCGTGCGGTTACTCTTCCGTTTGTTCGTTTTGAACCAATCACACTCCTCACCGATGATCAAGTGGCCTTATTTTCCGAGCAAATCAAAATGATCTGTAGCGATTTGGACGAATTGCTCAGTTTCGACTTTGAACAATTTTGGTGTCAGGTACATATTCTATGGTTCTCAACTTATTGTCCTTGAAGATGTTGTATAATAAATCATTATATAGCTGTCTACATTCTGTCCTCAGTTGGACTCCTCGGTATGTTACGATTTTCGCGTTCACTTCAATGGCGTAATTTTCCCGTTCCCTAGGGGACTACAAGCAGACCTACTGCCTGAAACCTGTCGTGAAGACTACCACAATTTGCTCGCTTTGATCTTAACGGTACTTTCAAAGGCTAGTCTATCACAAGAGTCGGAGGTATGTTTTCGAATTAGTTCATCCGGTAATCTTGGCACGCAGAGCGAGTTTATATCAAAAAACAAATTTGGTGAACTAATTTACGAACATTATGTGTTTGACATGCCTCTACTAATGGACATATGTGCTGTGTATTTTCATTTATCAACGAATGATATCATTGAGATTGTGGACCGTGTATTCACTTATCAGGAGCTGTATTTGAACGATTTAAAGAAAACCTTGTTCATGCTGGGTGAAGTAAGTCCCCTTTCCCAGAATAGTGTTTTTCCAAACAAATTGGGTCACTTAATAAGTATAATCAAAATATGTTGTCTGATAATTCGTTTCCGTGTAACACGTTGAAATTAAGTCTCCTGAAACATTTTGTCTGTGGAAATTTTTGGAAATGTCACTGGTTGGATGAAAACTTCAGTTTGAACTAACTAACTAACTAACTAGCTAATCCAGTCTTGATTGTATGGGGTACGTTGTGTCTGTCGACATGTTTATTGCAGAATCCTGTTCTCTGGAACTCTTTTCAATGATTCCCACTCAGAAAATTGTTTCAACAGGACGAGTGTCTATTGAAGGCGTCAGCAAACTGCGTTACGTAATGGAAAAAAACGTGCTGTATTTATGCCATCACACACAGACCTTCATCGAGACTCTAAAACACACACACGAGAACACCAGTAATGCGAATAGACCAATCAAATTGTAGCATTCCGTTTATTAAATTCGGGCGTATAAAACCCGGTCTGACTTGAGTTGACTTGACTTGATATTGGTTTCCACCAACCCAATAAAAACGACCGTGGGACAAACAAATTGGTAATTCGTATAAGCTCCGATGTGGGCTGGTTGGTGGTAACACACACACCCACCTCACAAGTTAGGGTTCTAAAGTTAAAGGCCCTGACGACTCGTTGAATGTGCTTTACTGGTGAGCCCTATCAAAAGTGAAGCTCGAATCTAGTGTTACCTGATTGACTAGGTATTAATGATAATTGTGCTCGAAGTTGAAGTCTGAAGGATGGCCATTGGAAGTAACCCCAGCAACACAGAAAACAGCAGGGAAGTAGTTCGAGAAAGCTTCCAGTTGCTACTATATCGGTCCAAATCCACTTCCATTAACTGCGCGGGAATTTTTGAGGGAAATGTAAGTTTCTCGTTACCGGGGGAATTCAGATGATTGGTTGAATGGAGCGCAGTTATTGTTCACAGTGATCTTTTATGCGTGACTGAATTTCCCCCTTCAACGACTGTTCTGCAATACTGGTCGAGATGCAGACATATAAGCCACCACACCACCTCATCTTTGGGTCTAGTGATCAATCCATTTTACGTGCGAAGTAGTCATGCTAAAACTAACCGATCACCGACAGTATATACCTACTTGACCTACTGGATAGAAGAATACAGTTTTCATCAGCATCACTGCAGATTCACCATCATTTAATCTGTCAAGTTCACTGCATTTTACTGCACGAAGCATCCATTGTTGAACTACGGCGATATTGCCACTTTTCAGTGATGCAAATTACTGATAAAAACAGGAAATGATCAGGAAAAGTTAGTGATAAACACAAGCAGGATAACAAATATTTGAAAGTACCGTTTTTGCATAGAATCCAATCTACTGGAAATTCAAATGTTCATGGAGTGTGCTGCCGTGGCAGGATAAAAAGCTGTCATTGGATCCCCATTCATTCAACTATATCTGTCTGGGGAACTTTTGCTTCTTTTTCTGCGTCTCTTGTTCGCCATTGTGTGTGTGTGTGTGTGTGTGTGTGTGCGGGACACCAATTTCCGTCTTTTTTCCCTTCAATTTCGCATTGTAGATGTTTGAACGTTTGGAGCGTGAAATTAACGCTCCGGAGAGGCTGACGGGATTTGATCGTTTGCAAGATCTAACCGCATACGTCGGGGATATCTGTTGGTCTTTGTTTACATTTTTCAATGTTCTTTCCCAGTTGAGTTCTTCCTCACCATCTGATTTGTGCTTTGGCGGTGCCATGCATGAAAAGTAAGTCTTCCTTCCCCTGCACACATACATTTACGGTTGATTGTTTTATAAAGATATCTTACTGAAAGTTTGTCATGAGATTTATTTGTTCGTTTTGTAAGCGCAACCGTGTACCGGTGTACCGGGACACCCTTCTGGCAATTTGTAAGGAACGGTCGGCAATTCTTTTTCTCCAAAGAATTAACCACCGCATACATGTTGTTGTCTACCGAGAAAATTTTCGTTGTTTCATCCTGTGTCTGTAGTTGCCTCATTTTCAGCGATCAAATACAAAAATCACGTACCACAAGACAGATTGTATGCGAGAGGAAAAAGAGGGGGAATAAACAGTGTTCTTAAAAATCGAGGGGTTAAAACCGGGAGGACAACAGATGTAAGACACTGTTTGGCATAAATATTGTTCTAGTAAACTAACAACAGAGTTTATCAGGGATTAGAATTGCCACAGCCATCTTCTATTCACAGAAGCTGTAATGGTGGCGGATGAAGAATCAATAACAATAGAGCAATCAACCACTAATGTGGCGATTTAAAAATGTGGAAACGAACACTGTGGCAGTTGGGGCAGATTTAATAATGCTTTAGTATTACACAAAGTGAAATGCAGGAAAAGGATTAAGTACCATGATCAAAAGGTATACTATGAGACGGAGTGTGGGAGGACAGTGATGTGACCCCATATGTTATCGATCAGGCGCTTACACAGTGAAAAGTTGTGAGTAGATGGAAAATCAGACAGTGGGTGAGTGTTCCATAGTTTATTGGTTCGAGAGAAAAAGGAAGATTGAAAATGGTGAGTATGCCACCCGGCCTCCTATATTTTATAGGGATTAATATCAGTATATATACAGGTGTGTGGGCGTGTGTGGAAGGGATAACGCTTAAAAGAAGAGGATCTTTTGAGGAAAGATACGGAGACAAAAGTTGTAACGACAGAGAAGGTAAAGCAAAGACCCTGTGATCCTAGGTTCGAGTTCCACCACCCAACATTGGTGGTAGGCTGCCTTGTTGTCGTCCGGTCAAGCGCCACGCCTGACCCAGCAGGACCTTATGTGGTTCGCCCCACTCCAAGTCCCCGGGGCTTAGGTTACCGATTTCCATCACTGAATAGCCGGTCCTCGTGACTATGTGGTTCACCCCGTCTGCTGAACATCGCACAAAAAGTGTGTAATCAAAATGAAAGATAATGACTGCAACTTGGAAATTCGAGAAGGTACTTGATCTCCTGTCTGACCTATTCTTTGAACACAATCAAAAGAGATATTAAGAGCAGTAGACGAAGCCTCAGTACACACGGGACTGGCGTATGTGCATGGGGCGTTTTTAACCTGTGTACAGTAATAATAAGAGCTCAGGTAAAGAAATGTCTAGTGCCAATTAGAAAACCAGCTTTATGCGCAGCACTAGTGTTATATTCGCAAAAGGCGGTGCTGGTCGAGCAGAGTTGTTTATTGCAGAATACAGATTGAAAGTCACTTATTTTGCATGAATAACACGAAAACCTTATCAGAAATATGCCATCGCAACACATCGCGACACAGAGTGATGGGTAGAGCAGGCAGTGTTTATTCTTCCCAAACATATTACTTGGTTCTTGATGGTCTTGTTCCATTTTTAATCACCGGAAGTTACTGACTTCTCACAACACTCCTCCCCCCGGCGGAAGGGATCTCTGCATGCCTTGATTAATTGACGACTGTTTCTTGAATTGTGCTCGCGTTTGTGTCTGATTTTCGACGTTTGGCGGCGTCCTGTCTGATGTTGCGTTATTGGATTCTGGAATTTCTTTCGTTGGTTTATTGCGTGTGCTGTACCTTTGCTCGTGCCATGTTGCGAGATCGTTCCGATGTACACGACGGACTTCGTTCATCCGTTGAATTTTGTACACGGGATAGCGTTCTTCAACTATGCGGTATGGACCTCTCCATTTGGGAATTAACTTCCTCGAGCCAGGGCCGCTCGCGAATTCCCCAACATGCTGCTTATATTTTACTTTAGATCCAACCGGAAGCACACTGGCCGTCCGTTCAGTTTGTATCCTCGACTTGCGCATTATATCCTCCTGCGCCGTCTCCAGGTTATGCCGGGCTTCGCGTCTTGTCTGTTGAAGTTGTTGCGGAGATAAATCGTTTCGCGGCCAAATGCCAACATCGAGATCCACTGGCATCTTCGGAATTCTTCCGTACATCAGTTGAAATGGTGTGCGTTTGGTACTGGCGTGCGTGGTCGAGCGGTAAGCCAGAAGTAGGGAAGGTAGGGCTGACTTCCAATCCCCTCCTTTCACTGACAGCCGTTCTTTGATTGTTCTGTTATTGCGTTCTGTGAGGCCGTTGGTTTGTGGGTGATAGGGCGT